GCCACCACCCAAAGCAACGTGGAACTACCACCTACTTCATAGCCCAAGAAAGTCTAGGGTTTGAGGTAAAGACAATGAGTTTGGGCAGAGCTCACTGTGAGGCTGCTTCGCTTACTATGGGATTCCAATTAGGTTTCTCACTAGCTTGATTTTCAACTTTTCCCAAAAAATAAGGTAACAACACTTTACCTGGGTTTCTGCAAAGATAATCTAGGACCCAAAACCCTCCCTCCCCAGCTCCAGTCGAGGTAAAACTAGATGGAACTGGCTGGCTGAGAGTCTCGGTCAGAAGTCCAAAGGAGGAGAAACATGGATAGAAAGGAAAGTCGCCCTGAGGCCCACTCAAGGTAGACTAGATGTGGTACAGTCACTTGAGGGGGAAAGTACAGACTGTTCTGCACCATCTAGACATGAAATGCTTCATAATCTCATAAAAAATGTATAGGTTCTACAATTGTTTCTAAAAGTTTGTGAGATAAAACGTTTATTCACAAAATTTACCAGTTAAGAATGTCTTTAGTTGCAGAAAACCCAACTAATTGTGTCTTAAGGGAATTCCCTGGCAGTTCAGTGGTTAGGACTTGGTGCTTTTACTGCTATGGCCCAGGTTCAATACCTGGTCCAGGAACTAAGGTTACCCCCAGGCCATTATTTACTTAATAACAAATAATTTTGTCTTAAGCAGTAAAGTCGTTTAATTACCTCACATAATAAGAAGTTTGAAAGTAGGAAGATCTGGGGAATACATGTAAAAAAAAAAAAAAAAAGATACACTATGGTTGTGATAAAAAAAAAATAAATAAAAAAAATAAATAAATAAATTTAAAAAAAAAAAAAAAAGAAAGTAGGAAGATCTGGGGTTAGTTTAATGCCAGCTGCTGGATCCACGTCCCTCTTCTCTTGGTCTTTGCCTTGTGGTCACAAGATGGATGCCATATCTCCAAACATCACACCCTCATACAGAAGTGTCCCAAAGAAGAAAGAGGAATATATTAAAGTGGGTATTTACCTCTCATTTTTTTTCTTTTCAGGGAGAAAAACCTTTCCTAGAAGGCCCCTGAACATTAGTCCTTTAAGTCTCATTGGCCAGAGCCAGACCACTCCTCAACCAGTCACTGCCAAAACGATCTCTGGACACATAGCTACTTGAAAAAGACCAAGATCTGTTAGCAAAAAAGACTGAAGGAATGTCTCTTGAGAAGGCAACAAGAGCATCTTCCATAGGAAGAATTTCTGGGAAGAAAATGAATCTTTCCATATTTCTGAGCATAGCTAAGGAGTTACACAAGCACATAAATACATACAATGTAATGGGAACAAAGATAAATACTGTACAAGACACAGGAATCAGGCTAAGAAAGAAATGTATTCAGTCAATGAAGGGTGGGGACTCAGGGGTGACTAGAACAGTGGACATAGTCCATTATAGTGGAGATGACAGACTCTTTGTCCTGGGGGTGGGAACAGGTCAGAGAAACCTTCACAGAATCTATGTCTGAACAGAGTGCTGCCAGATGAGTAGGAGTTCACAGCCAAACTGTTTTGGAGATGAGCGGACTCACCCACGAAGAGCTATGTTTGTGCAGGTGAACAAACGGTTCAGTATTCTGAAAGGCTAAGGTCAAAGGATGGGCAGTATTGGAGAGGAGGTCAGATCATGCAGGGGCCAGGAGTTGGATAATGGGTAGCTGTTGAAAAGTTGTAAGCAGGAGAGTCAATTAAATAAATATTCACTTTTAAATGATTACAACATGGAAAGAATCTCAAAAACATGTTGCCAAGCAAAAGAGTACAAACTATATGATTTCACTGATGTGAAGTTCTATAGGATAGGCAAAACTAATCTATGATGAACAGTATCAGAGCAGTACTTCCCCAGGGGAACAGCGATTGACCAAAATGCATCACGAGGAACATTAAGGGATGATGGAAAACTTCTACCTCTTCATTGGAGTGGTAGTTATGTTTATTAAATGTAATATATTTATTAAAATTTGTCAGATTGCATACTTAAAATATGTGCTTTCACTATACACAAATTATATCTCAAATTTTTACAAAGTACTGGTAAGAAGTATCCTGATGGGTGGACTGTGGGAGAATCTGAAGGTGGGGAACCAGTGAGAATGCTGCAGGCACAGTCTAGGAGGGGCATCCCACGGCCTGAACTGGGGCAGGCGTGGAAACAGAGGAGGAACGGGGCCAACGAAGGAGCAAGGCTGGCTTTGGGAAGGAAGGTGGAAGGAAAGAGAGGACTCAGGATGACTTCTGGCTGGGGTGAATGACATGGGTCACTGAGACAGAAACTCTGAGAGGAGGTACGAGTTGGGAAGAAGGAGAAATGAGCTCAGATGTGGAAACACTGAGTTTGTGATGCAGATGTTCTGGGGGCTATTGAACATGTGGATCTAGATTTCAGGAGAGGGAAAGATGGGCCAGAGAGAGCTTAGTCCTCAAAATATGGAACTAGATGGGTCATCCAAAAGGAACAAACTGAGTGAGAAGAGGTGGGCAGAGGCAGGAGGGGAGAGGGCCCTGGGGGGTATCAATAACTAAGTGCTGGTCAGAAGAAAAGGCTCCTGCTCAGGAAACTACGAAGGAAAGATAAGACATGAGAGAAGTGCTAGGATGAAGGGTTTCCTCACAGGGGATAGAGGAAAGAGGTCAAGAAGGGGAAAGTGGGGATTTCACTGGTGGTCTAGCATTTAAGACTCTGTGCTTCCACTTCAGGCGGCATGGGTTCCATCTGGTCGAGGAACCGACATCCTGCATGCCATGCAGTGTGGCCAAAAATAAATAAATTAAAAAATAAAAACTAACCAAAGAGAAAAAAATGAGAAAATTCTGAACAGAAAATAGTAAAAAGAAGAAGAAAGGCTCATGGAGTTCCTACTGTTAGAGACATGAGGAAAGGAAGGGGTGAGGCCCTAAGCCTCCTGTCAGTGATGCAGGGACACAGAGAGGCCAGGCTGGACGGACAAAGTCTTCACTGAGAAGGCAAGTTTGGAGATGATAACACATAACTGGGAACACTGGGGCCTCTTGCAGAGGTCTTGAAAGAGGCCTTGGCAGGGCTGTCTTGACATGATCAACCAGACCAGATGAGGGTTGGGGAGACCACGGGCCTTCATGGAGTCTGGAGGTTCAGCTTGTCCCATGTAGCCCTCTCTGCCTAGAATGCCCTACAATCCTCTTTCTGGCAAATACCTACCTAACTTGGAATATCCTCAGATATAGCTTTCTTGGAGAAGCCACCCCTAGCACAGAGGCAGAGCACACACACACACTATTGTCTTCATGCCTTGCAACTGCCACCTTCTATGTCATTAACCTGATTTCAGGTCTGTGTACCTTACCAACTGGTGTGCTCCTCCAGGCCATTATCAACCTGACTGTCAGGAAGACTTACCCACCCTGTGAGCCCACAGTTGGCAGGGCCCCAAACAAAAACAGAGATTCTCGAGGAAATGAAGGAGTCCAAGAACAAGCAAATGGGTCTGTGCATGAAGAGAGCCCCACACAGTAACCAAACACTCCAGTGAGTACTCCCCCCTCAGTCCAGGGTGGGCACCAGTGACCAGACCCAGGTGCTAGCTGCCTCCCCAGGTGGTTACCCCAGTATGTGTCCTGGGGACCAGGTGCCAACTAGGTGTGACAGTCACACACTAAAAGCCCTGGAGAAGGAAGGGGGTTTTGAGAAAGGGGACCACCACCTGAGAGAAAAGAAGAAAAGCAGGAACTTAAACAAGATTTAGAAATTGGCCTTTTCTGAAAGCTTTCTGCACGAAGCTTTGAGAACCAAGATGAAAAGCATGAAAACTGAATTTAAGAATGAAAAGCACTCTCTAAGGAGAATGGGCCGTTTCCACATAAGGCAACAAAATTAGGAGAAGAGAATGAAACTCTCCTGATGCATAAAACAGCTCAAAGGGACCCAGAGATTACTCGTTAGTTATGCAGAAAGCTTCTCAGAGAACTAAAATGACTACGGCCGTGCCAAAGAAAGTGGAAATCAGGCCAGGTTACGAAGGAGGGGTACATACAAAAAAATAACAAAAGGCTGTGGAGATAAAATCAGAAGAGTCGTTCAGAAAAAGAAATGAGATATAACTTGTACAAGGCAGCAAAAGAATGAGAAAAACATTTTCTAACTCTAACAAGCCAACAAAAGGGGATAAGGGGATTGCTGGCTCGTTTTGAGTTGGGGAGAGAAAGCCTATAAGCAATGACACTAAAAACACAGAGGCTTTTAATTTTTTCTTAGCTTAAAAAGGTCAGCTGTGATCTAAAGCTGAAAGAGGCACCGCATGGGATCATGAGAAGGCAGAAAGCCAAGGGGGAATGAGGGAAGAACTTGTGTATTCACATCCACGGTCCTGATGACTTACATGCTTAGGTACTTAAAGAATTGGCCCAAGGTGGAATCAGATCACTAGCTCTCACTCTGAGGGGATTTATGGGGAACTGGTGAGGGGCCTGGAGACAAGAGGGAGACCCAGGCAGCCTGTTCCTGCCTCTCTTTAAACCTGGGGGAAAGCAGATGCCTCTCCAAGTGCTGGGCCCATCAACCAAGCTGCTATAATAGAAAACTACTGGGACACGTCGTCAAAAAATCAATCTGCAAACACTAGGTCATAAGGAATTAGGTAATAACCAGCACTGCTTTCCAAAGAACACATTTTGTCAGAATAATCCAATTTCCTTCCAGGACAGAATGATGGGCCTGGTAAATCAGGAATGGCAAGAGACACATAATCTTCCTTAACTTAAAGAGCACGGCATTTAATTTCACCTTCCATGAGAAGTCTCAAAAGAAAAACTGGGGAAATGGGGTCTATCGTTGGCCTTTCCAAGGTTGACCAAATGAAAAGAAGTTGAAGGGTTAACCCAAACAGCAGTTCTTTATGGTCTAAGTAGTATGGCTGGTTGAAAATGGGCAGAGGTAGGCATGGGTGTGGTAACTGCATTGGTGGTAGCAGGTAACAGAAGAGGTAGGAGAGATGAGAGAGGGGGTGGTAGTGGAGATGATACTAGTGACAAAGGTAGTGATATTAGTGGAGGCGATGATGTTAACTGTGGAGAAACTGCCAGTGATGATGGTAGTGGAAGTGGAGGTCATGGTTGAAATGATGATGAAATTGATAATAGTGGCAGAGGTGGAGTTGGTGGTTATAGTGGAGATGACGGTAAGGAGTGATGGAGATGTTGCTGAGGAGAGTGTGAGGGTGGTTGTGGTTATGGTGATAAAGATGGAGGTGGTGGCTGTGGTGGAGATGGAACAGTGATAATGGTGGAGACAGAAGTAGTGGTGGCATAGGCGGTGGTGGAGATGCTAGTGGTAATAAAGGTAGTGATACTAGTAGAGGTGGTGATGGTAGAAGTGATATCTCCATCACGGTTGAGGTGGAGATAATGGTGATAAGATTGATGGAGATACTGACACTGGTGGGTGTAAAGGTGGTAGTGATTATGGTGGTGAAGATAGAGGTAGTGGAGATGGAGACCGTGGTAATGATGGAGATGGAGGCAGTGGTGGTGGAAATGCAAACAGTGACAGTGGTGGTGGTCATGGCGGTCATAGACTAGACCTGGTAAGTCTGGGTTTCACAGCTGTCCTTTGTGATGGACACCCACACTAGCGTGTTCTTTCCTCATCTTTCCTGAGAGAAGTGAGCACAGACTTTGGGTCGTTTGGGGCCCATCCTGATTCTGACCACCTCAGCATTACCCTGTAAGTCCTGAGGCAACAAACCCCTTCTCTGTCCAGATAGGCTGGGTGGCAGCAGACCCCAAGAAGTCTGTGGGAGAGGAGGATTTCCTCCAACCCAAAAGGGTAGGCATGGCCGGAGAGCCCTCTCTGGCCAAGTAGAGGGAAAAGATCCCAAGTGGACCTTGGGCCGGCCAAGTGGAGAGGCCGACTATCAGTGATCAAGAGCCCCTGTTGACTGGAGGCTATTCCCAGCTCGAGAAGTTTTGCAAGCTGGGGTCTGGGAAGGCCTTTTGCGGGTTCTGGTTTTTACACCTCTTTCCAGCCTGAGTGACTGCAGCCCATAGACTAGGGTTTCAGAAGGGTGAACTAAAGACTTCCTTCCACCTTGGTTTCCGCCAGGATGTGGCTGTTTTGTTGAGTGGAAATAAAATTAAAATGCCCCCCAGGTGTGTGGGCCAGTGTGTCTCGGAAGCCCTGGGGGTGGGAGAGAGGTGGGTCGTTGGAGCCTCCAGCAGGCTTCATGGGGTGTGTAGTAGACAAGGGGGCTGCCAGCTTGGGCTGGACTCCCTGAAAACATTCTTGAGACTGAGAACTCAGCTTCATATTGAAAAATTCTTGCTCAGTTCCTTGCTGTCTACACAGCCCAACTGGCTGTGTGACTAGGGGGAGGTTCTTGAACCAATCTGGGCCTCATGATGTTGCCTTGTGCCCTAGAGAGTTGGATGAGATGATCTCTGAGATCTTGTCCCCTAAACATGCTTCACACCCCAGCAATGTCCACAAGCCCATCCAACCCAGCCCACTTCACCCATCCTCTCTGCCTACAGGGCCAGGGCCCTTACCCACTATGGTTCTGACCAAAGGTCCAGCTCAAAGCCAATTTACCTACAAATACCACCTGAGCTGGGCAAGAAGAAGCAACTTCTTCATCTGCTAGATCCCCATGGCCTTTGTCTACCGTTTGAATTGAACTGTCAGACAGGAGGGGTCCAGACTCTGCCTTCACCAGTTAGCCTGGACCTCACAGACTTGAACCTCATTCACACCCTATCCTTCTTGGCAACCAGCCCATGCCTGGCAGAGAGAATGCTAGAAAAGTAGTGAAGAGTTTGTGAATTTTATATCTGGAGGAACCGAGGCCCCAAGAAGTAATCAAGATTAGAACCCAGATCTCTCGGCTCCCAGTGCATCGGCAGATATGGTCCAGGACTGGAAGGCCTGTCATAACAGAGCTTCCACCTGTCTAATCCTTGCTTCTTCTTGTTGTTTAGTCACTAAGTTGTGTCCAAATCTCTGTGACCCCATGGACTGTAGCCTGCCATTCCTCTCTGTCCATAGGTTTTCCCAGGCAAGAATACTGGATTGGGTTGCCATTTCCTCCTCCAGGGGATCTTCCTGACCCAGGGATTGAACCTGTGTCTCCTGCATTGGCAGGTGAATTCTTAGTCTCCCAAATACATATGAACATATGTCTTGAAAGGAATTCTCATAGATCCCGTCTATGAGCTCCTAGCAGTTCACAGACCCTGTTTGTGCTGTCCCAACTTAAGGAACGGAAGTCCTAGACCATAAAAATGTTTAACTGCAAAGAATTCTATATTTACAACTGCTAAAATTATTTTCATATTTTAATGAAACTTAAATCCAAATTTAAAAAACATTCAGAGAACTTAGGGATTCTGAGACTCATCCACAGGAAGGTATGAATGACTGACACGTCCTCTTTACTGTGTTGCTAGGTCCCAGGGTAATCCATTTTCAAACATACCCTTGAAAAGGACAATGCGTAACTTATCAGTGAGCCTTATAAGGTGAAGCGGCAATCCTTGGGTCAACCAAGATGGTGAGAGGCTCTAGATAGCCTTCAAAAGAAGATCCATCCAAGGATACCAGCTCATGCTGTGCTTCAGTTGGGGGCAGGTGTGTGTGTGTGTGTGTGTGTGTGTGTGTGTGTGTGTGTGTGTGTGTGTGTGTGTGTGTGTGTGTGTGTGTGTGTGTGTGTGTGTGTGTGTGTGTGTGTGTGTGTGTGTGTGTGTGTGTGTGTGTGTGTGTGTGTGTGTGTGTGTGTGTGTGTGTGTGTGTGTGGTGTACGTGCTAACTGGAGAAGCGGTTCCAGGGAAAGGATGACTTCCCTAGATTCCTCTTCCAAACAACCACTCTGTTTCCCAGTCAGCCCCGCTGATGAGGGAGGGGTTGGCAGACAGCCCCCTTGCCCGCCCTACCCACATACACACATACATATAGCTTCTCCCTCCTGGCTGCACTCACATGTAGAGATGAGGCAAAAATTTCAGTCCCTCTAGAACAGCAGGAGCCCTGGAGAGGTGCCTGGTTCTGAGATTCACTGAGTAACTTTGGACATGTAACAATTCTGTACCTCTCTTTCTCCATCTAAACGACTTTTTTTTTTTTTTTTTAACCCAGGCCCCAGCATTTGAAGTGCCAAGTCCTAACCACTGGACCAACAGGGAACACCCCCTTTCCATGTCTATAATGAGAGAGAATTTGGATTAGGTAGTTTCAGAGGCCCCTTCCAGTCCTGACCACTCTGTGCTGCATCATTTCTCCTCTCCTTATGTCATGAAGGTCCTGTGGTGACATGGAAGAGGCTGGGGCTTCAGATTCATACAAATCTGAGTGTAAATTCTGACTCTCGTTCTTTTTTAGCTCGGTGATCTTAGTCAAGGTATTCAGCTTCTCTGAACTTCACTTTTCTCATCTTTAGATTAAGGATAACACCTTCTTTTACATAGACTTGTTGTAAGTATTAGAGACAAAAATGTATTGTTTCTGATTTACTCTCAATTAATGGTAGTTGTCATTAGTATACTGGCTGAGGAAGGCTGTGAAAAGCCGTGTGTATAATAGCTGGAAGCTTGGCCTCTGAAGCCCCATAACGTAAGTCTGAATTATAGCTTAGCCACTTCCGAGCATCACAACCTTGGGTAAGCAACTTAACTCTATGCCTCCATGTCCTCATCTCTAAAATGGGGATAATAATTATACCTATCTCATAGAATTATTGCAGGACAAAGTCATTCAATAAATGGAAACACAAATCAATGTCATATAATGAGTACTCAAAAATATCAACTATGTTATGAATACCCTAGGGATAGGTGTGTACATAGGTGTATGTGTCTGGGGTGGAGGGGTGCTCCCACCATTCCCCACGTCCTCCCACCCCCACTTTGGCTAAGTCAAAAATCTGAAGTCCTATTCTCTTTCCATCATTCACCTCCTCAGCCTATGGACCTCCCAGTTTCCATTGAGCACTCAGAACCTGGCGACCCTCATCCTCCCTGGCTCTTTCAGGAAGCTGAACTCATTCCTGGGTCTTCCCTGAAACCTGCCTTCCTCTGCCCGTGCAGCCGATTAGCTTGTTCCTGTAGCCTGTGCCCTGGGAGCCAGCCCTCAGGCTTCCTAGGTGTCTCAGTGGTAAAGAATCTACCTGCAATGCAGGAGATGCAGGTTTGATCCCTGAGTCAGGAAGATTCCCTGGAGAAAGGAAATGGCAACCCACTCCAGTATTCTTGCCTGGGAAATCCCATGGACAGAGGAGCTTAGTGGACTACAGTGCATATGGGGTTGCAAAGAGTGACATGACTGAGCGACTAAACAACAAGCCAGCCCTCACTCAGTGCCCGGGAGATATCTGATCCACCTGGAGGATAGGAATGTGCTCAGAGAAAGGAACTGAGCTGCCTCCCTTATCTAGGTCCTGATAGCATTCACTGACATTAAGGTCTTCCTCAGCTGCCCTACATCTCTGCTACTCATTCTTGAGCTTGTCTTCAGGTTTTCAAAACAATGCCTTCTTCAGCTAAGGGCTTTTGACTGAGCTGCAGAGAGTCAGGGAAACAGACATGGAAACAAAAGTGAAAGACTCTATTTTGCTCACTAGATTGGCAAATATGTATGTATATTATATGATACTCAGTGGCAAGGCTGTGAAAGAATAGGGACGCTCATACTTTGATGGAGTGACTGTAAATTGATACAGCCTCTTTGGAGGGATGTTTAGTACTATTCATAAGAACTTAAAACAAGCATCTCCCTGATCCACTGATGCCACTTCTAGGAATCTATCCTGTGGAAAAACCTCTTTCTGCTCAAAAATATTCTTACAAAGATGGCTATGCACTAAAGCACTCTGATTGCAAAACTGTGGGAACAATATAAACGTCCAATGGTAAGAAAAAAGTAAATAATAAACCGAATAACCATACAAAGGAGGAGTACACAACTTTAAAACAGGTGTATATACAGAAATATTAAGATAAAATGGTGTTTTGCAGAAAAATATATATTGTTTGGTCTCATGTAGGGGGAAAAAAAGCTCACTCTTCCCCCCACTCCCCCAGCTCATCTCAGCAGGGTGGAAGTTCCCTGCAAGTTCAGCCAGGCTCAGGACAGATCGCACGAATCAAAAGCCCAGCCCTTCCTTCCAGCCAAATAGGTCAGTGCCCCAGGATGGCCACACCTGGGGAAGGAAGAACCGCTGAGGCCTTAGGGTCAGAGCTCCTGCCCAGTGGAGCAAAATGGAAGCAGCCTCCGGTCTGAGGCAGAAAGACCAGGGTTCAAATCAGGCCTTCATCTCTTACCAGCTATGTGACCCTGGGCAAAGATCCTCGTCACTCTCAGCCTCCATTTCCCCGTCCATAAAAGGGGATTAATAACACCTACTGCACTGTGTGGTAGGGAATTAGATGAACCAATGAATGGAAGGACACAAGGCGATCTCAGTAAACGCCAGTGCTCTCCTCTCTCCTCAAAGATTTCTTTTACTTTGCTTTCAAATGCTTGTACTCCAACCTCAGCAGCATCCTTGCTCAACAGCCCTTCCATCCTGCCCACCCTGCTCCCAATTCCGTCCCAAGGTAAATTCTTCTCATGTCCACTCTTACTCCTCACTAGATGACCACATTGAGGCCTCCTCCACCACTGAGCTGAGTAAGGCCAATGAAGTGTGTTCCCTCCAGGTGAAACATCCTCTCCTCCTCCCACCACCTACCACCCCAAAGTGTCTCCAGTTCCTTCCCACTTGTGGTCTAGCTCCCACCCTTCCACCTGCTTCAGGACATGACCCCATCAATCAACTCCCCTTTCTATCCTTGGCATCTTCAATCCATCCCTCCCCTCCACCCCAACCTTATAATTAAGCTCAAGCGGGTCCTACCATAAAACACCCACTTCTCCACCCTCCTGCCCAGCCCCATCTCCCATCTTCTTTTACCACCGACCCTCCTCCTTCTGACCTGCTGCCATCAATCCGGGGACCCTTGTTCAGTTTCCTTCCTCCGGGGCCCGTCACTTTGACTTGTGGGCAAGTTTGACAAGTGGCTAACAGTGGGGACAGTTAGCCACAGGCCCTTGGAAATGTGTCTTTGGTTTTTATGACTCCGGATGCTCTGCAACGCCCAAGATTCTGCCTTCTGCCATACACCTCACACCTCCCGAAACTCGTCCCCTTTCCAGCCTCCAGAGCAACCTGAGGGCTGGACTTCCACATTTTTGCTGAGAATGACCAGCCTGGGAAGAAATTAGACCCGTGTCCCTTTTTTCAGAATAGAAAACTGAAGCCCAATAGCATCTTCAAGTAACTTCCCTGAGGCCACTCAACCGGGTGACTAGAGCCTTGGAGACTTTTATCACGGAATCAAGTGCTTCCGGAACTTTCCTCTCTCTGGAACTTCTTCCCTTCTACACTACACACTTTATCCGCCCTAGAAAAGCTTAGCCAGGTGCATATTAGCATAAAAACGTCTCTAATTAGACTCTATTTCCGCCTGAGGGGGTCACACCCCGCAGCCTGGGTCCCAGCCTCCTGCCCGCGCACCCAGACTCCATCCTCCCCCGGGCCGGGGAAGCCAGAGTACCTGCCCCGAGAGGGGGCGGAAAGCGTCCGTCGGGGCCGGGCCCCTGCCCCACCCTGGCCCCCTACCTCTGGCCCTTCGCCCCCTCGCCGCCCGGCGCATTTAGCGCGCGCCTCCCGAGCGGGGGACGGCTTGATTGACCTTGGCAAGAGGCAGCCAAGCCCTCCAAGGCCCCAGCCCCTCGCGGCCGCCCCGGCGCCGCGGCTCCAGTTTCTTTTACCACCAGCTCGGTTTCTCGCCCAGCCGGGGCCCGGGGGAGGGGTGCTGAGAGGAGCCCCGTCCGACCCCCGGCAGCAGCGCTCCGCTGCCGGAGACGAGATCTGATGAGAATGTCTTCCTGCAAATTAAGCCTTCTCGGGACTCTCCATCCGGTGCCGGCAGCGAGCCCGGCGCGCGGGCAGCCAGTCCAGCGTCGGCAGCCGGGGCTCAACACTCTTCCCAGCGTCTCCCCCTCCCTTCAGCACCCAGGGCCCGGCGGCTCCGGGTCGGAGGGTGGAGCCCACCTACCAGTGCTTCCCAGAAAGAGTGCCAGCTGTGCCCCTCTGCCCGCGCGGCCTGCCCAAAGTGTCCCCGCACCTTTCCCTCTTCGACCCCTTGCCGGTGGGGAGACCTCCTCCTCCTGGGCTGTAGAGGATAGAGCCCTGGGGTCCAGTCTAGTTTCTACTTCGAGATAGCAGTGGTACTTAGAAAATTGCTTCTCCGTCTCCCCGGGTGTAAAAGAGGCCTACAGTACCCTTTTCGGTTGGTTCTCATGGAGATTCATGAGCCTGTACGCCAGGCACCCGGCTCTGCATCCAGGATTCTGTAAGCAGAGGGTCCTACCCAGAGTCAACCCCAGGGCTCAGGAACTCCTCCCACCCGGGTGTTTGCAAACGCTAACCACCTGAGCTCTTTCCCGAAAGGGATCTGAAGCCTTCTCTCTTACATAGAGGAGTCAGCAAGGGGTGCGAGAGTTTCAAGTGTATTTATAAAAGGAAGCAGAATTCTGGAAAATGTTATTCTCTTGGAAAAACCATAGACTGCAAAATTTTCTCCAAGAAAATAAAAAGCAAATGTCCTAATGAAAGAACTTCGCCTTGCACTGACTATAGGCAGTTTTATAGGCAAAGAATTTCATTATTGTTTAATTATTATTATCCCCATTTTACAGGTGAGGGAACTGAGGCTCAAGTGATTCACCCAGGATTACAGAATTGTTTAAACAATGGAGTTCCAGGTTGAATCTAGCCTAATTCCAAACCTTATTCTCTTTGCTACCCTACTGCTGTCTCTGGGCAGGACTCTTTTGTGCTATTTTTAGTTTCTGCACTTACCACTTTTTTTCCTTAGTGTTGGTGAATTATTTTAAAAGATTCCTGCTTGTTTTAACTGTGCTGAAGGAAGACAAAGAGGAAAGTGTGTGTCTGCACTTGCATCTGAATTCAAAATACCAACTGTGTTGGGGGTGTTGGGGTTGGGTGGCAGTGAGCAAGTGGCAGGGAGGGCGAGATTCCAGAAGCTGGAGTGGCCAGGCATCTTGGGAAGCCCCTAGGGGTTTCCTCTGGCTCTAACCAGAAAGAGCTAGTGCCTTCAGAACGGCCCTCCCACACTCCCCACACCGGGGATCCAGGTAAGTCTGCAAGCGCCCAGCCCTAGGCCTGCGCAGCTCTGCAGTGGGAAAGATGCTTGGCCCAGAGCGCGCCCAGCAGCAGGCCGGCTCCCCTCAGGAGTGTCTGCCTGGCAGCCAGGGCAGGACGCACCTCTTGGAGGACAGAGAGGCATTCAGCGATTGAGACAAGGACAGACAGAGGTGGGGAGGAAGCAGTAGAATAAGAGGGAGACAGGAACCCAGAGGGGAACAAGGGAGCTATTCAGAGTTAGAAAGAGTGGGGAAGCCGCTGGGGAGAGGGAGAAAAGACAGAGAAAGAGGGGCGAAAAGAGAGACAACCGACAAGGGGGTGGTGGACACGAAAGGGGGGAGAGAGTGGAGGAGTGAGGAAATGGGCAGAAGCGGCAAAGCACACGGATTCGAGGCGGCCGGAGGAAGAAGGCGGAGGCAGCGACCAGAGCTGCGAGCGGGAAGGGAAGACAGCCAGCGGCGACGAGGAGGGCTGCGGGGTGGTGGGCGGGACCGTGCGCTAAGCCTTTTCTTTCTCTTTTTTTGGGGTGGGCGGTGGATCTCCGCCGAGATAACCCAGCCAAGCCCCCTGCCCCGCGTCCCAGCGAGGGGCCGCAGCTGTATAAATACCGGGGGTGGGGGAGCGGGGCTGCTGCAGTGGGGTCAGCGACACCGGAGAAGGCTTTGCTGTCATTAGCTAATTGAGCCCCAGATGTTAAGAAAAGGTTACGTCCTCCTCCGGAGAGTTTTTCTTTTTAAACACTTTACTCCGATTCCCCGGCCAAAATGGCCGGGAGGCGCCGGGGCCCTTACCCACCCTCTCCCCAACCTCCTCCCCTCGTTCCGCGCCCCCCCCCCCGCCCCGGGGCCCCAGCAGACCCCCTACCCCAAAGCTCCCGGAAGCCGCCCGCAGAGGCCGCTGCCCCTGTAATCCCAGTGGCCTGCCCGGAGGCGCGGCGGGTAGGAGCGGGGACCACCGGCGGCGGAGCCAACCCCTAGCCCGGGCCGCCGACTGGGAGGTCAGCCCGGAGGGAGGGCGCCGGCGGGGAGCGGGGGACCCCGGGGAGAGGGGCTCTCAGGCTCTTAATCCCCCTGAAGGTTGCAGATCAAAGACGCTAGCACGGAGGCAGAGGCGGTGCGGGTGGGGGTTGGGGGGGCTGGCTCTGGCCGCAGCCTACCCCCCTGAGCTGCGGACTGGGGCTCCCCGGCCCCGGACCCCAGGCTGCCAGCCCAGGGGGAGGGGGCTCAGCCTACGGGGTGAGGTCCGCAAGCCCGCTGGAAAGTCGCCCCAGCGCCCGCATATGCCTTCAAAAACCTCCTCCTCCCCAGGGACTGAGGAAAGGATGTGTGAGCCTTCCACACCCCCACGCTCACTCCCCCACCCCCGAGAACAGAACTCCAGAATACCAGTCACTTGACATATATTCTTATTTAATCTCACAGCAATCCAATGGGGTTGTAGAAATTGTTATTATTATTGGTCATAAATGAGGAAACAGGCTTCTGAGAAGTTATAGCCAATTGCCCAAGGACCCACACGACTAGAAAGTGGCAGCGCTGGAATCAACTCCACAGGGTTCAAGGCCCTGCCCTACCCCCTCACTACGTTCCTCCAGCCAGGCTACCCTTCCCTCTTCTCCCCCATCCTCTTCCTCTGTCCTCCTGCTCTCCTACCACCCAAGAGGAATGGAGCCACACACCTGTGGCCTTGGCAAGGGGGGAGGGGTTGGGGAATAGCCTGGTGCCAAGGGCGCGGCCAACTTGGCAACAGCTCCAGGCTAAATGTGCGGGATGGGGCTGGGCAGGCATGTGCCTGGGTTGAATCTGAGCTGAAAGAATGTTCCTGTTGCCCCTGCCCCAGAGGTGGGGCTCCCTGCTCAGAATAGAACCAAGCAAGTTAGAGCTGGAAGGGGCCTTCAAGATGATCTGATCCCTGTTTGTCAAACCCTCCTGTTTGACAGATGCAGCTGAGCCCGAGAGGTGGTGTGTCCTCCTCTCACGAGATCTCAACAAGATCACATGGCTCGTTGGTGGCAGAGCAAGAATGAGAGTCCAGGAATTGCCCTTCACGGAGTGCCTCCTTGGTGTTGCACACTGGAATAGCTCTGCACACACGATCTTCAGCAACACTAATAGTGGAGATTATCACCTTCCCTCTGGAGATGAGGAAGCTGAGGCTTGGGGGAGCTAAGGGTGCTCAAGGTCTCCCATCTAGAACTTGCCAGAGCTAGTTTTGAACCCAGATCTTCCTAAAAACTTCCCTTTCCACACTCCCAGAATATTGGGGCTAAGGAGTGGGGATTGAGGGCTAGAGAGGGTGTTATGAGCTCAACAGCTCTAAGAACACAGGGGAATGGGACACAGGCTGGGAAAAGTCCCTTCCTGTGACTTTAGTCTTGATTGGCTCTCCATACCTCCCCGAGTGGCCCAAATACTGAAATCCTTCAAGAATTCCCTTTTGAGTGTCTGTGGAAGGGGGAGAAACTTTGACTGGTGGCCTTTCTGGGTTCTGAGGGTCTGGAGATGTAAGAGAAGATTGCATGCATAGATTCCCCCTGATTTCCTACCCCTGGAGGAGGGGGCGTGGGGGGCAGACAGTTTGAGTACAGGCAGGTGATGATGCCCTAGAGTTTAGCCACCTCATCCCAGAGCCACGCATGGCTTCTCAGGGGCCACCAACAATGCCATCCCACCCAGCTCCATAGAGAAACTCCAAAGCTTCATCCTCATACCTCTCCCCCTTCCTAGCCTCCTTCCGTGGCCTGCCCTACCTCTTCTTAGCTTTCCACTGCCTCCAATTCACTCATTCATCCATAAATATCTTCAACAAAAATTTGTCAAGTGTGGACTATGTGCCAGCATTGTGCTGGGCACTGGGGCTACAGCAGAAAGCAGACTACCCTTTGGAGCTTGCAGTGTAGCCAGAAGACAGAATTAACCAAAGAGACATGTAAATAAATTTAAAATTACAAATTGGTGTTAGGAAGGAGAGTACAGGGTGTTTTGAGAAGTTATAACAAGAGGTCTATTTGTATGGGAAGATTATTAAGACAATAGAAACTCAAAATGATTATTACTAATAATTACCGAAACAGGAGGGCTGAGGTAGTCATGCCCCCAGAGCACCTGCAGTCCTGGGGTGGGTCTCCAGTCCTTCCCCAGCAGTGACTAACCAGTATGTCCCTGAGGGCCCAGCTGATGTGAGTGGGAGTGGAATGATTACATGGTGGCCCAATACTGAGCGTCCCCTCTGCCACCCAACTCACACTGAGGCGGTGGCCAGTCCAGAGGTAAGGGGGTGAGGCAGCTGGGGGCAAGGGTGGGTTGGGTCTGGACTAGGGGACAGTGTGCCCAGCTGATAGGGGTGTAAGCTTCTGGCATCACTCCAGGGAAAAATCCCTGCACTACCTTCTAACCTGGTTCCAAATGGGAAAAGGAGTACATCAAGGCTGTATATTGTCACCCTGCTTATTTAACTTATATGCAGAGTACATCATGAGAAATGCTGGGCTGGATGAAGCACAAGCTGGAATCAAGATTGCTGGGAGAAATATCAGTAACCTCAGATATGCAGATGACACCACCTTTATGGCAGAAAGCGAAGAACTAAAGAGCCTCTTGATGAAAGTGAAACAGGAGAGTGAAAAAGTTGGCTTAAAGCTCAACATTCAGAAAATTAAAGTCATGGCATCTGGTCCCATAACTTCATGGCAAATAGAGGGGGAAA